TGCGAACAAAGCTAGTGGAGGTGATGGAATTCCAATTGAGCTATTTCAAATCCTAAAAGATGATGCTGTGAAAGTGCTGCACTCAATATGCCAGCAAATTTGGAAAACTCAGCAGTGACCACAGGACTGGAAAAGGTCAGTTTTTATTGCAATCCCTAAGAAAGGCAATGCCAAAGAATGCTCAAACTACCGCACAATTGCACTCATCTCACACACAGCAAAGGAATGTTCAAAATTCTCCAAGCCAGGCTTCCACAATACATGAACCATGAAATTCCGGATGTTCAAGCTGGTTTTAGAAAAGGCAGAGGAACCAAAGATCAAATTGCCAACATCTGCTGGATCGTCGAAAAAGCAAGAGAGTTCCAGAAAAACATCTATTTCTGCTTTATTGACTATGCCAAAGCCTTTGACTGTGTGGATCACAATAAACTGTGGAAAATTCTGAAAGAGATGGGAATACCAGACCACCTGACCTGCCTCTTAAGAAATCTGTATGCAGGTTAGGAAGCAACAGTTAGAACTGGACATGGAACAACAGACTGGTTCCAAATAGGGAAATGAGTATGTCAAGGCTGTATATTGTCACCCTGCTTATTTAACTTTTATGCAGAGTACATCATGAGAAATGTTGGGCTGGATGAAGCACAAGCTGGAATCAAGATTGCTGGGAGAAATATCAATAAACTCAGATATGCAGATACCACCACCCTTATGACAGAAAGTGAAGAAGAAGTAAAGAGCCTCTTGATGAAAGTGAAAGAGGAGAGTGAAAAAGTTGGCTTAAAGCTCAACATTCAGAAAACTAAGATCATGGCATCTGGTCCCATCACTTCATGGGAAATAGATGGGGAAATAGTGGAAACAGTGGCTGACTTTATTTTTTTGGGCTCCAAACTCACTGCAGATGGTGACTACAGCTGTGAAATTAAAAGACGTTTACTCCTTGGCAGGAAAGTTATGACCAACCTAGATAGCATATTAAAAAGCAGAGACATTACTTTGCCAACAAAGGTCCGTCTCGTCAAGGCTATGATTTTTCCAGTGGTCATGAATGGATGTGAGTTGAACTGTGAAGAAAGCTGAGCGCCGAAAAATTGATGCTTTTGAACTGTGGCATTGGAGAAGACTCTTGAGAGTCCCTTGGACTGCAAGGAGATCGATCCAACCAGTCCATCCTAAAGGAGATCAGTCCTGGGTGTTCATCGGAAGGACTGATGCTGAAGCTGAAACTCCAGTACTTTGGCCACCTCATGCAAAGAGCTGACTCATTGGAAAGACCCTGATGCTGGGAAAGATTGAGGGCAGGAGGAGAAGGGAATGACATAGGATGAGATGGCTGGATGACATCCCTGACTTGATGGGCATGAGTTTGAGTAAACTCCGGGAGTTGGTGATGGACAGGTAGGCCTGGCGTGCTGCAGTTCATGGGGTCACAAAGAGTCAGACAAGACTGAGTGACTGAACTGAACTGATTACAAAATGACTAGGACTTCCCTGGTGGTCTAGTAGTTAAGACTATGCCATGTAATGCAGGAGACATGGGCTCCATCCCTGGCCTGGGAGGATCCCATGGGCCTTGGAGCAACCAAGCTTGTGCACCACAGCTATTGAGTCAGTGCTCTAGATCCCAAGAAGTGAAACTCCCAAGCTCTCATGCAGGAACTACTGAAGACCTTTCACCTTAGAACCTGTGCTCAACAACAAGAGAAGCCACCGTAATGAGAAGCCCGTGCACTGCAACTACAGAGTAGCTCCCACTTGCCACAACTAGGGAAAAGCCTGCACGCCGACAGAGATATGTATATGTATATACGAGTCCACCTTGCAATGCAAGGGATGCAAGTTCAATGCCTGGTTAGGGAACTAAGACCCCACATGCTGTGGAGCAACTAAGGCTGTGTGCCACAACTACTGAAGTCCACGTGCTCTGGAGCTCACATGCCACAACCAGAGAGTCCGTGTGCTACAACGAAAGATCCTGCATGATGTAGCAATGAAGAGCCTGCGTGCCACAACTAAGACCTGACCCAGTCAAATAAACACATAAATATATTAAAAAATGACTAAACGATTATTGTAATTTTACACCACTGGGTTTGGTGTTCTTTATTATACAACAATGGATAACTGATACAAGATCTCTTCCACTGGGGTAGGTGGGGCTCTGGAAAGGGGATGAGGGGGACTCCTGTCTGGTTTCCTTCATCCTGCTGAAGGAGGTCACTGTCTTCCCTTCTCGCCTCCATCCCAATACCCAATCCATGAGCATCACCCATCACCTTTGCATATGATCATTTTTCTCTTTCTACTATTATCTTAATTCAAGACACCATCAGCTCCCTCTCTAGCCTCTCTGAGGCCATTCTTGCTCTTAATCCTCTAAACTATCCTCTATACAGCAACCATAATGACCTGCCCCCCAACTCTTTAAAAACTTTTTATTTTGGAATACTTTTTGATTTACAGATGACTTGTCCTACAAGCTGTGCTTGGGTCCCCCTGAAATTCAAAGGTTGAAGCCCTAAACCCCAGTTTGATGGTATTAGGAGATGAAGGTCTCTGGGAAATAATTAGGTCAGGCAGGTGGAGCCTTTATGAATGGGATTAGTGCCCTTATGGGTAAAGAACCTGCTTGACAACACAGGAGATGTAAGAGATGTGAGTCTGATCCCTGGTTCAGGAAAATCCTCTGGAGGAGGGTATGGCAATCACCTCCAGGATTCTCGCCTGGAGAATCCCATGGACAGAGGGGCCTGGCGGACTAGAGTCCATAGGGAGCAGAGAGTCACACTCAAGTGAAGTGACTTGGTACTGCACAGCACACAGTGCCCTTATAAGGGAACTTTCAAGATCTCTGCCTCTTTCTTCCTCATCTCTGTTTCTATCTCTATGTCTCTCTCTCTGCCGTGTGAGCGTACAGCAAGGAGATGCTGTCCACAATAAAAAAAGTGGGCCCTCACCAAATACCAGATCTGCCAGAACCTAGATCTTTGATTTCCTAGCCTTCAGGACTGTGAGAAATAAATGTTTGTTGCAAACCCACCAAGTCTATAGTATTTTTGCTATAGCAGCTTGACCAGACTATAATTTGCAAAGGTGGTTGGTACAAAGAATTCTTGTCTACCCTCCACCCAACTGCCCCAAATTTTAATATACTGACTAACCAGGCATATTTGTCACAACTAAGAGATTAACTAATGTTGGTATAACACTATTTACTAAACTACAGACATAATGTCAGTTTCCCCAGGTTTTACTCTGATGTCCTTTTGTGGTTCAGGGTCACAGCTAACACTTCATTTGGATATCACATCATCTTCTTAGACTCCTTTAAACTGTGTCAGTTCCTTGGTCATGCTTTCTCAAGACCTTGACACTTTTGAAGTATACCAGTTAGGACTTTTGTAGAAGGTCCTGTCCCTCCCTTTGGGACAATCACCTGATGTTTTCTCATTAGATGGAGGTTATAGGTTTTGGAGGATACCAGACAAGTGCAAGGGTCCTCACGTCACATCAAGTGCCCATGACATGCACACAACTTATCACTATGATGATAAACTTGACCACTTGACTGAGGTGTTATCTGCCAAGTTTCTTCACTGCCAGACTACATTTTCCCTTTCCATTCTTTTTTCTAAAAGTGAATCACTAGGGACTTCCCTGGTGGTCCAGAGGTTAAGAATCTGTCTTGCAAAGCAGGGGACACTGGTTTGATCTCTGGTGGGGGAACTAAGATCCCACATGCCATGAGGCATCTAAGCTCAACAGCTGCAACTACTGAGCCTGTGCACTCTGGAATCTACGCACCACAACTAGACTGTGTGCTGCAACCAACAAAAGATCTCCCATGATGCAACTAAGACCTGATACAGCCACATAAATAAATAAGCCCTGGCATATTCATTGAACATAGTAGGTGCTCAATAAGTATTTATTGAATAAGTGAAGACAGAGGTTGGAAGAATATGAAAGCCAGATCCATTCTATTCTTCTCTAATTATGGACATAACATTCAGGCATCTGAGGTGTATATGTGCCAGGGGTTCAGGAGCAGTACACTGTAAGCCTCAGTTTCACCACGTTTAAAATGAAGATAATAAAAGGATCCATCTCCAAAACGGCTTTGAAAGTTAAATAAGCTAAAGCACAGGAAGATGATACTCATATCTGACATTAAACAACTGCTATTACTATTATCTATAAAATGGGCATAACAGCGATCTACTACATAGGATTCTAAGTGCACAACTGTTTCGGGTAAGTGTAAAGTACTATATAAGTGATTAATGTTGTTATTATCATCATGATCTGGTCAGGCCTCCCACCAGTCCATCTGAATTTTTTTTTTTCTCATGCCCCTCTGCACCGTGGGATCTTAGTCCCTGGACTAGGGATGGAACCCATACCTGCAGTTGAAGCCATGAGGAAGTCCTGAAACCACTGGACCGCCAGGCAAGTCCTGAAAGATGTCTTAATCAATTTCATCCTTTTATTTTGTAAATCCCTTTCCTCAGCACGGCCGGTAGCCCTAGGATGTTTGCCAGGCACCCCCTGCACCCGGACTGGGAGCGGATATCCTTGGGCTGGGGATTATGACCCTTCTGGATGGACCGCAGGAGCCCATCGCCCCGCCCACAGGCCAGGACCGCCTGGATCTCCATGGAAACCCACCAGCCACAAGGGGGCGTGACGCCCTGGAGATGGATAGGGTCCTCTGCCTATTGGGTCAAAGTCATCTCAGCGAGGGGCGCAAATAGGGCCTCTGACGGGTGCGTCCTTGCGGGAAGGCGGGAATACGGCGACTGGCCGGCGGGACTGTACCGTCTCTACCAATCAAGGGTCGAGGTGGCAGTGATAGACAGGCGTAGCGGGAAAAAGCCCAGAGTGCGGGCTTTCACCCAACCCGCGGGCCGCAGTGTCGAGCAACGGCCAATGAAGAGGCGGCGGGGGTGGGGCGAAGAGGCCGGTTGCTCCGGAAGTGGAGGGAGGGGGTGAAAATGGCGCCCAGCTCGAAATCGGAGCGGAACAGCGGGGCCGGGAGCGGCGGTGGCGGCCCCGGGGGCGCCGGGGGAAAGCGGGCAGCGGGGCGACGGCGGGAGCACGTCCTCAAGCAGCTGGAGCGGGTCAAGGTGAGGCCTGGAGTCTCGGAGGAGCGCGTCGGAGGGAAGGGAGGAGGGACGAGGGAGGCGGCGGGGAGGGAGGGCGTTCGCGGGGTGAGGGGTTGGGGGCGGAGCCCCGGGGGAGGGGGCTTGGAGGAAGGGGGTTGGGCGGGGCCCCGGGGAGAGAGCTTAGATTGGGGGGGCTGCGGCGGGAGTTTGGATGGAGGGAGTTGGGGGCGGGGTCCCTGGGAGGGGGCTTGGATGGACGGGCTGGGGGCGGGGTCCCGAGTACGAGCTTGGATGAGGGGGGCTTAGAGGCCGCTGGAGGAATGAGGAGGAAGGGGGCGACGCAGGGTCAGACTCGTTTCTCAAAACCCTGCTCCCACGGCCCCTCCGTTTTGGAGCCTTACCGCCCCTTTGGCACAGTCTCTGCTACCGGCTTTGGGATTCCTCCGCCTGGGGTTCCTCTCTCTGTCCAGCTCTGACCACAGGAGAGCTGGGAGTTCCTGTAACTGCCTCCTCCATTGAATGGGAGGGAGCTCCCTGGAGAGGGCCTGATCTTCAGCTACCTGAGGAAGGCTCTGTCTCCTCATGAGACCAAACTCTCAGCGTGCTGGGATCTTTTTCTCCATCAGGTTGCCAGCTCTGGGAGGGCAAACGTGTAAATCTACTGTCAGGTCAGCAGCAACTGGGGCAGGTCTGTGTCTCCGTGGGTCAGGAGTTGTGCCGTCTTCTCCATCAGGCTGGGAACTCTGTGAGGGCAGGGCTGTGTCTTCTCCTTTTGACTAGAGCTCCTGGAGCAGGGACAGTCCCCACCCTCAGCCTGATTGCTCCCTGGGTTGGGCTGTGGCTCCGCCCTTAGCTTGGAAGCTCTTTGAACGAGGACTGTGTCTCCCAGTCAGCCTGGGCCTCACTGACAGGGATATTCCACTCTGGGACCTCCTCGAGGGCTGGGCTGCATCTCCCCCATTAGACTGGGTAGCAGGATCCGAGGTGCTCTGATTCCTCAGTGCTCAACTTGGGCCTGTCCCCCACCCAAACCTTCCTTGAAGTTTTGGGATGAGGGAGTCAGTTGGAAGGCGGCTGTTAATTGAGAAGGGGGAGTCGGGCAGGAGTTGGATGGTCACTGGTCAGGTTTACCCTTCTGTCTGCCTCAACAGACAGGCCCCCAGGGACCTAAGCGCCCTGTGTATAGGCTGGTGGGTTGGGAACAGGTGAGTGGAGTTGGTCAAGCCCCCATCTCAGCCTCCTTGGTGGTCCTTGATGTCCAGAGCTCACTGTGCCTTCAGGTAGCCTTCAGGAAGACAGCTAGGTGGCCAGTGTGGGCCAGGGGTGAGTGGGGGAGGCAATGCCAGTGCTAGTTCTCACAGCCTGGGGGCTTAGGCAAGAGGAATGTGTGAAAATGTCAGTCACTCAGTCGTGTCCGTGGACTGTAGCCTGCCAGGCTCCTCTATCCATGGAATTCTCCAGGCAAGAATACTGGAATGGGTGGCCATTCCCTTCTCCAGGGGATCTTCCCGACCCAGAGATCGAACCATGTCTCTTACACCTCCTGCGTTTACAGGCAGGTTCTTTATCATCTGAGCCACCAGGGAAACGGCAGGCAAGAGGAACCCTTAGGCTGTGGAGTTGGGAGGGTGGCATGGGGCCCTGGTGGAGAGACAGGCTCAAGCCATTCACACCTTCCAGAGCTTGGACCACCCTGGACTGTTATGGTTGGTAGGAAGTAGGCCCATGTGGCTGGGCTGGACCCCATAGGTGTTGCTCTGCCTTGGGTGAGGGGACTGGGGGGGCTGCAGGCTGCTTCTACCATGTGGTGTCTCAAGAGCTCTGGCTGACCCTTCCCCAGATTAGTGGGCAGCTCTCTCCTCGCCTCTTCCGGAAGCTGCCACCCAGGGTCTGCGTCTCTCTCAAGAACATTGTGGATGAAGACTTCCTCTATGCAGGGTGAGGCGAGGGCCAGGCAGGGGTTGGCGAGGTGGGGCGGCTGGCCGGCCCTGACCTGGCCATTGGCCCCTCCCTGCCATCCCCACAGACACATCTTCCTGGGCTTTTCCAAGTGCGGCCGTTATGTTCTCTCCTACACGAGCAGCAGTGGGGACGACGACTTCTCTTTCTACATCTACCACCTGTACTGGTGGGAGTTCAACGTGCACAGCAAGCTCAAGCTGGTAGGGCCAGGCTGGGCGCTGGGCACCTCCCTTCTGACCACATGACCCCACTCTGAGCCTCAGGTTCCATGGCCACAGATTGAAGATAGTGTACTCGCGGGGTCATTGTCAGGACTCCCAAGTGTTAGGTCGAACTGTAGGAAGTGGCCATCTTTAGAGCTGAAAGTGGGAATGGCAGGATTTCCTATGGTCTGATGGCTTAGGGCAGGAGGGGTCCATTAGGTCTGTTAGGACCAAGCAGGCTGCCATGCCTGGTTTCGCCCTGACCTTGACTCCTCGAATGTCCCAGCCCGGGAGGTGAGTGCCGTTACCCCAGTTTCCACGTGAGTTCAGAGAGGTCAACCGGTCTCAGGGTGGGTCGGGCTTGGAGCCTATGGGTCAGGCTGCATCCTATCCTAGGCCTGGCCTCCCTGTGTCCCCCACATGTGAGGGGAAATTCTTATGAGCCTCCTCAGCGTGTTTTCAGGACGGCAGAGTGGGGTGTGGGGTGAAGGCCGCTTGGGGCTCCGTGGCCCAAGACTGCCGGCAGGTGCAGCCTCGGGTTGGCCCTGGCCCACTCAGACCCCACCCCCATGAGAACCTGCTGCTCAGGTCCGCCAGGTGCGGCTCTTCCAGGACGAGGAGATCTACAGTGACCTATACCTGACTGTGTGCGAGTGGCCCAGTGATGCCTCCAAAGTCATTGTCTTTGGCTTCAAGTGAGACTTGGGGATAGGGTGGTGGGGAGTGGGTGGGGGCGGGCGCCCAGGCCAGGCTCTGAGGCTCCACCGGCCCCCAGCACCCGCTCAGCCAACGGCATGCTCATGAACATGATGGTGATGAGCGACGAGAACCACCGGGACATCTACATCAGCACTGTGGCTGTGCCGCCTCCGGGCCGCTGTGCCGCCTGCCGAGACGCCAGCCGCGCCCACCCAGGTGAGGGGCTGGGGGCCTGGGGCGCCGGGCGGCCTGCTTGCCTGCCCCGCGGCCGCAGCTGAGCCCGCGTGGCCTGTGTCGCTGCAGGTGACCCGAGCGCACAGTGCCTGCGGCACGGCTTCATGCTGCACACCAAGTACCAGGTGGTCTACCCCTTCCCCACCTTCCAGCCCGCCTTCCAGCTCAAGAAGGACCAGGTGGTGCTGCTCAACACCAGCTACTCTCTGGTGGCCTGCGCCGTCTCGGTGCACGCGGCAGGTGGGTGCCCGGGCCTGCCGACAGGCCCCGCGGACGCGCTCCCGGCCTCGGGGCCCTGTGGCCCGGCCCCTTGAGGCCGGCGCCGTCACTGCCCTGCATCGCAGATGAGGTGACGGAGACCCCGGAGAGGTGCAGTCCCTGGTTCAGGAAGTGGCACTGTGGGCTCCCAACCCAGCCACCCTGCCCCCTCACCCCTGCCCCAGCACTGCCTCCTGGAACTTTCCATGGGGCCAAGAGGGTCCATATCTGGGGTATCTGCTACAGCTGCCACCAGTCGCCACTTGACAGTGGGTCATGTGACCAAGGAACTGAGTTGTTAAATTTAATTTTAGTGATGTCAAGTTCAAATAGTCACATGTGGTCAGCCACTGTCCACCATGCTGGACAGTGCAGTGCGTCCTTCTATTCAGAAAGAGAAAGGTCGATTAAAAACTTAAGGGAGTGGTCAGTGCGCAGAGGACCACATTATGGATTTGACTGTTGCTGACATGGGGCGGGGGGCCACTCGCACTCCTGCTGTCCCAGGGCCTTATGGCAACAGAGGGTCCCTGTGGCCCAGCAGCAGCCCTGCGCCAAGCATGTCCGAGGCTTTAGTGGCGGCAGCTGGGGCCCGCCTGGCATTTGGGAAGGTAGGACTGGGTGGTTACCTCCCCCGGATCAGCAGGGAGTGCCCCAGCATGCCTGTCTGTGGAGAGTGTGCCTTAAAGACATGTTCACGTGCAAAAGAAACACAAGAAGATCTGTAACCTGCTACTGATGCCATTTATATATGAGTTTAGAATGTGTTGCAATTATATCAGAACCTAGTCCAATAAAGATGACCACTGGGACTTCCCCAGTGGTCCAGTGGTTAGGAGGCCACATTTTCACTGCAAGGGCCCAGGTTCAGTCCCTGGCTGGGGAGGACCTAAGATCCTGCAGACTGAGTAGCATGGCCAAAAAAAAAAAGATACCAACTACCTGCATTTAAAATGATTGCCCTTGGGGAGGCAGGGGAGTGGACATGAGAAGCGGATTCTATGTATGTGCTCATGTGTGTGCTCAGTCGCTTCAGTCATGTACAACCGAGACCCTATGGACTGCAGCCCGCCAGGCTTCTCTGTCCGTGGGGATTCTCCAGGCGAGAGTACTGGAGTGGGTTGCCATTTCCTCCTCTAGGTGATCCCCAACCCAGGGATTGAACCCGGGTCTCCTGCATTGGCAGGTGGGTTTTTTACCTCTGAGTCACTGGGGAAGCCATGTATGTGTTATTTATGTATATATAACGGAGCCCACAGACCAGCAAGGGCCAGTATGCCTTGTCCTCAAGCTCTTCCAGGGGCCTCCCGCCCCTGCCCTGGCCACCTGTACCAGAGTGGGCAAGGCTCTGCTTCTCGCCAAACTATGATCCCCCGACAAGCCAGGCCTGGACAGGGCGGCTGCCCCCCACCCCGTTAGGAAGGACCGCATGGGACAGGATGCAGCCGTGCGCACACGGCCCAGGTGAGGGGAATTGTCAACGGTGTCTGACATTCCTCTCACCCTAGGAGGGTATCTACACAGAGGGGGAGTTTTGATGCAAACATTTTCCACTCATCTCCCTGCTCTCCAAAAGAAGTGCCGCCGCCCTGGCAGATAGGAGTGTGTTGGCATACTTGTATTATCTCTCAGTGTGACCTTGGCCAAGTTTCTCTGAGCCTTGGCCCTGAGTCTCTGAACTGAGAGGGGAGCTCCCCTCCACAGGGGCTGCTCACAGGGGCCCAGTGGAGCAGGGCAGGCAGAGCCCAGGGCCCGGCGGTGGTGCTGCTTGGTGGATGCTTGGCTTCTCCACACTGAGATTCTCCATAGGGAGATCTGGCCCCCAGTCAGGTGGAATCACAGAGAGGCCTGGGATCCGGCCAGGCTGTGCCTGTGTGGGTCTGTCTCTAGTTGGACAAGGACAGAAGACAGTGGGTCAGATAAAGCCCTTCACTGCTGTGCAGGCTTTTCTCTAGGTGCGGAGAGCTGGGACTCTCTCTCATTGTGGTGCGTGGGCTTCTTATTGGGGTGGCTTCTCTTGTTGTAGAGCAGAGCCTCTCATTGTGTGGGCTTCAGTAATTGTGGCTCAAGAGCACAGGTTCAGTTATGGCGTGTAGGCTTAGTTGCTCCTGGGCATGTGGGATCGTCCCAGATCAGGGATCGAACCCATGTCTCCTACATTGGCAGGTGGATTCTTTACCACTGAGCTACCAGGGAAGCCCTTATGTAGCTTTTATCTTCTGTCATCATCATAGACTCCCAGCTCCCCAGTTCAGTTCAGTCACTCAATCATGTCCAACTCTTTGTGACCTCATGGACTGCAGCATGCCAGGCTTCCCTGTCCAGCAACTCCCAGAGTTTGCTCAAACTCATGTCCATCGAGTCGGTGATGCCATCCAACCATCTCATCCTCTGTCATACCCTTCTTTTTCTGTCTTCAATCTTTGCCAGCTTCAGGGTCTTTTCTAATGAATCAGTTCTTCGAATCAGGTGGCCCCAGTATTGAAGTTTCAGCTTCAGCATTAATCCTTCCAATGAATATTCAGGACTGATTTCCTTTAGGATGGACTGGTTTGATCTCCTTGCAGTCCAAGGGAGTCTCAGGAGTCTTCTCCAGCACCAAAATCATCAGTTTTTCAGCGTTCAGCTTTTTTTATGGTCCAGCTCTCACATCCATGCATGACTGCTGTTATCCATACATGTCAGCTCCCAAGGGCAGGGAATTTTCTCTTGTTCACGCCTGTGTCCTCAGTATGGGGTACACAGCAGATGCTTAAGAGGAAGGTTTGAATGAACATGCATGTGTGTAAGTCTTTTTTCTGTTTTGCTTGTTTTGGACTGATCTCAGCACATACAAGTCTTCTAGAAGGGTCTCCTCTTGAATTTCTGAGATCCATGCCCCCCCACCCCCGGGTAATGAGAGAGCTCAGGAGAGCGTCCTGACCTAAACTCATTTATTGACTTCTTCTACCTCCCTCACTATTTTTATGTTCCAGGAGACAGCAGCTTCTGCCAGATCCTATACGACCACACCACCTACCCCCCGGCCCCTCCCAGCCCCCCTGGACCCCAGAGCCCAGAGTTACCCCCTGTTCTCCCCAGCCTCTGCCCTGAAGCAGCCCCAGCCTGGCCCTCTGGGACCCCCGATCCCTCGCCTGCCATTGCCAAAGCCAAGGAGTTTGTGGCTGACATCTTCCGCCGGGCCAAAGAGGCCAAGGGTGGGACCTCGGAGGAAGTCCGGCCACCCCCCTGCCCAGGGCCTTCAGGCAGCCGCTGCCGCCTGCCCTCTGAGCCCCTTGGCCCAGGTGGGGAGGCGGTGCCCCGGGACAGCCCCCCTGCAGCAGAGGCGCCCGCCCCAGAGCCTGGATACGTCAACTACACCAAGCTCTATTACGTGCTGGGGTCCGGTGAGGGGACAGAGCCAGAGGATGGTGAGTGGGGAGCCCCTCTGGTGGGCAGGGCCCCAAGCATGGGAGGCTGGCCTTGAGAGCCTCTAGGCCTCCCACCGCCATCACTACCCCCATGTCCTGCCCCCTCAGAGTTCGAGGATGACAAGATCTCCCTGCCCTTCGTGGTGACTGATCTCCGAGGTCGCAACCTGCGGCCCATGCGTGAGCAGGCCGCCGTCCAGGTGGGTGTGGGTGGTGGGCAGGCCAAGGGGCAGCTCCTGGGGCACTTCCTGGGATGGCGGTGAGCGCAGTTCTCCCCCTGCCCTTGTCCACAGGGTCAGTACCTGACAGTCGAGCAGCTCACACTGGACTTCGAGTATGTCATCAACGAGGTGATCCGCCATGATGCCACTTGGGGTCACCAGTTCTGTTCCTTTAGCGACTATGATATTGTCATCCTGGAGGTGGGTCCAGGTGTCGGGCAGGACAGTCCAGGGCCTCCCCTGCTCTTGGTGGCACTCTCAGTAGCTGTCACGGTCCACCCTCCCCACCCCCCAGGTCTGCCCAGAAACCAACCAGGTCCTCATTAACATTGGCCTGCTGCTCCTGGCGTTCCCATCCCCCACCGAGGAAGGCCAGCTCCGGTGAGTGGGCAAGGACCCGCCCTCACCCTTGCCCAGCAGGGTCCTGCTCTCATGATACCTCAATGTGGGGAGGTGGCATATGATAAAACTCCCCTTGACCCCCCAAAGCTTGGATAGGCTATTCCATTACTGCTCCAAAGATAAAAGCCCCTTAGGGTAGCCTGGGCTCAAGCTCAGGGGCCCTGTAGTCCCCCGCTTTCTCTTGTGCTCACCAGCTTTCCCTCCTGTAGACCAAAGACCTACCACACCAGTCTCAAGGTGGCATGGGACCTCAACACAGGCATCTTTGTGACAGTCAGTGTGGGCGACCTCACTGAGGTCAAAGGACAGACGAGGTGAGGCAGGGTCGGGGGCAGGGGTGGGTTGGGCCCAGGGCTGGGAGTCCTCATACCCTCCTCCTCAGCGGCAGCGTCTGGAGCTCATATCGCAAGAGCTGCGTGGACATGGTCATGAAGTGGCTGGTGCCCGAGAGCAGCGGCCGATACGTCAACAGGATGACCAACGAGGCCCTGCACAAAGGTGGGGTGCTGACCTGACGACAGTTTAGGACTGAGGTCCTGGTCCTGGGGCTGGGCGGGGCCCGGAGCGGGCGCTAATTGCTAAATGTTGCTGAATGAAGGAGCCCATTGGCTGAGCAGCAGCATGGAGGTGAAGGCGAGGGCAGCCCAGGCCAGGGCCAGGGCGCCAGCTCAGATGTGGCACCTGGAAGCATTCAGCAGACATTGAGTGGCTGCAGGCCCGAGGCAGAGATAACTTGCACCTGCCTTGCTAGAGCCTTCTGGGCCACCATCAGGTCAGGGAAAGAAGCCTCTCCTGCAGACTGGGCCGGCTCAAGGTTCCAAGGCCTTGTCCACACCTTCCCCTGCAGGGTGCTCACTGAAAGTTCTGGCTGACAGCGAGCGATACACGTGGATTGTGCTGTGAGGGCCCGGCCGCCCTGGACACTGACTCCAACTACCTCCGCGGCCTGGGAGCTGGCCGCCTTTCTGGTAGCCGCCGGCCGGCCGGCCGACCAACCAACCGACCAACTGATGACCGGCACTAGTGTTAGGCTGCGGGAAGGGGGCTGGGCCGGGCAGCCCCTGGTGGCCTGAGAGTCTGGACACTTCTTATTTATGCCTATTTAAGTGGGGAAGGGGCAGAGGGAAGAGAGCCCTCTGCCCCACCTGCCTTGAGCGCCCACCTTCACCCTAAGCTGGGCGCGGGCCCTCGTTCCTCGAGAGTTCGCCCCTTTCCTCAGCTACAGGTGTGGACATGGCCCCCCACACAGCCCAGGGAGGCCAGATGGATCCCAGACCCCTGCCCCGACCACCCTCCATCTCCCCCGTCTGAGGCGGAGAATCTAGTGGCCGTCACACCTCCCCTCCTGGCCCTGTTGTTCCTCTTCACACAATAAATGTTTTCTTTCTGAACCTCACCAGTTCCCTCCACTGCCTGCTACTCAGGAGCTGGGGTCCAGCTGGCCCCCCTCCAGCCCCCAGGCTCCCACCAAAGCCCGGCAAGTCAGCAGTAGCCAAATATGACAGTGGAATTTATTGTGTTTTAAGAAAGACTACAAAAAGATAGAAAACAGCTCAGCACACTAGACTACCACACGCGTGGACACTTTCACCGCCAGGAGAAGGGAGGCCCAGAGGAGTGGGAGAGGGAGTGGGCAAACCACTCCCAAAAGCTGTAGCACGCGGAGCACACAAAATAGTGATTTTTATACAATAGGTTAGGTTTTTTTTTTTCTTTTTTAGCTTTTTGCCATAAACATCTCACAGGTTGAAAACACTGAGAAAACCGGAACAGATAAGGCCATGATGGTTGGAAAAAAACCCAACAAGTTACCGACTCCGCTCACAAATCGCACAATAGTCATGTGGGGGGTGGGGAGGGGCAGAGGTCCCACACACGGAGGAGAAGCACGGTCTCCAGGAGCGGAGGTGGGGGTTGAGTAGGAGCGTGGAGATTCCATTACAAACCAGCGGCAAGGGGGCTTAGGGGCTTGGATACGAGCAAGCGGAGCACCCAGCCCCGGCCGGGGCAGGCGTGGGCACTTCCAGGCCCGCTGCCTGCAGCAGGCCCCTCCGGGCTTATCGCCCGGCCCAGCCTGCTGCTCTTTGGAAGCCAGAGATGGTGCCCCTTCTGCCCTCCCCCCCTGTCCAGGCTGGGCAGTGCCCCACCTCTGGGGCTGTGGGGCACGGGAGGGTCCAGCGCTGGAGAAGATGCGACACCCACGGCTTTAATTGCACTTATACCAAGGAGGGGAAGCGGTGGGGTTACTGAGGGAGGGGTCCCGAGGCTGCTGCTGCCGACAGTGGTGGGTCCCCAGGTGATGCCCACCTGCGCCCACCCGGGGCTCAGGGCTGGGCCCAGGACAGGCTGTGCAAAGCCAGCGAGCTGAATAAGTTAACAGTTCCGCAAGGTAGGGGGCCTGCCTGCCTGCCCCCTGGGGTGGTGGGGGTGGGGCTGGGGGAGGGAGGGAGATGATGCAGCCTTTGGAGCCAAGGGGCCAAGCTGGCTGCCCCAGGGGGCACCTGGGCACGGCGGCGAGTTCCTTAAGGCACGTCTTTTGTGTCAGTGTTTGCAGCTGCGGCTCCGCCCGGCCCTGTGATTGTGCGGGCCCCATGGGGGGGGGGCAGGGACCCCCCCAAGCCTTCCCTGTCTTGGAGGCCCCCTCCTGGCCCTGGCCGAAGCTGGAGCGGTGACAGCGAAGCCACAGAAGCTGTGAGGGACCCTGGCGAGGAGGGGCGGTGGGGGAGGGCGGGCGGGCGGGCGGGGCGGGGAAGGCCGCGGGTTTAGCTGGAGGGCAGTGCCTGCACGAAGAGGCCGCGCGCGTCTGTCCGCGCCAGCTTGGCCGGTGGCTCCAGAGCCTCGGGGCCCAGCGCGGGCGACTCGCTGCCAGCCGCGAGAGAGATGTCCTGCGGCAGCTCATCCTCGCTCTCCTCTTCTTCCTCCTCCTCCTCGTCTGGGGCACACGGACCGGGCCTGGCTCAGCGCGAGGCGGCCGCACCACCAGGCCCCCACGCGGCGCCCCGACTGGCGCCTCCTCCATCCCAGCCCCCCTGTACCGACCTGCGGACTCAGGTCCTGGCTTTACCTACCTTTGTCCGGGTCCAGGGAGTTCAGAGAAGTGGCCAGATTGGCGAACTGGAAGGTGGGGAGAGGAAAAGGGGTGAGGGTCCCGCCCCGGGGCGCCCCGCCCCATGCCCTCAGCGTCCCGCTGCGCGCACCTCGCCCATGACCGCGATGGGGGTCTCGCCCTTGGCCTGGGCCACACGATGTTCGATCAGGTAGTACATGTACTCATCATAGAGCAGCCTGATGAGATGGAAGGAGCCGAAGCTGGCGGCGCTGCGCAGGGTCAGGTCCCGGATCACCATAGAGCTGGAGGCGGCGACAGACAGGAGACCCTCAGGCCAAGACCCACCTCTTGCTCCACTTTCCTTCCATAAGAACCAGGCTCGAGCAAACGCAGCGACCACCACGCAGCCCCGAACAAGTTTCGCCAGGGAGTCCATCAGAGAGGGGGGAGGGCCCTAGACCCACGCACCTCCAGCCGAGTCCTGGCCTTCTTAAAAGGGATCCAAGTCCCTCAAGGAGGCGGGGCTTTTTCTGGCCCCACCCTCCTCGAAGAGGCGGGGCCATCTCTGGCCCCCTTTTGCACTGCCTCCAAAACCAGCACTTCCCGCCCAGCCGGGGCGCACCTGTAGAATGACCACTTGAGGAGGAAGAGCTTGGCGGCCTTGGGGAAGCCGGCGCTGCCCTGGTAGGGCTTGAGCACCTGGCTCACGACGCCATCCAGCCAAGCCGCCCACTGCTCCAGTGAGTTCTGCTGCTGCAGCGTCACTTTGAAGTCCTGCTCCAGTCGCTGCACCACGCGGTCCTCGCAGCGGCACACCCACGAGGCCTGCTCCTGGGACAGAGCAGGAAGGCGGGTGCCCGCGACTCAGTCGCCGCCCCCGGGACCCGCCCCGCCTGGCCACCCCGCGCTCATCATCGCCTGCCCTGACAGCGCTCACCTGCACGTTGGCGAAGTCCACGCGGTTGAGATCGCTCAGCATCTGGTTGATCTGCGCGGTGTTCTGCAGCACAGCGCGCGCCGCCTGTGCCAAGTGGTTGAGCGACGTGTAGCGACGCAGGGTCTGCGCGAAGGCGCCGGCCGCTGCCACCTGTAGGGCCCCGGGCTTGTGGCTTTCTTGGAATTCACCCCTGCCCCCGCCCACTCAGGTCCCTTCCCCTACCCACTGTGACCTCTCTGAGCCTGTTTCTTTCTCCGAAAAGGGAGAAAAAACCTTGTTGCTTTTGCTGGGAGATAAAAGGGTCAGGATTTTTAAGCTTTGGGTCATCAGCCACACAAATAATGCGTCCAAAAGAAAAAATAAAATCAGTGTATCTGAACACTATTATTTTTCATCAAAGCACACCAGAAGATATGGGAGGGCACTGCCCAGAAAGGGCACTGCTTCCATAACCACCTGCTTCATTCTGTTTGGATTATTATTCCCTTGAATGTCAGCTCCGGGAGGGCTGGAGGTTTGTCCATCTTGGTCACTGCTGTGCTCCCAGTACTTAGAACCAGGCCAAGCACACAGCAGGTGCTCAGTAAATGTGTGTGTAATAAATGAATACATAAGTCTTGCCAGTTCCAAAGGACTCCCCCTGGATCCAGCTTCTAGTTTTTCCACAGACCAAGCCCAGCCCTCTGTCCAGCAGACCCCAGGGGTCATTCTTCAGACATCCAGTCTTATTAGCATTTTCAGGACTTTAAAAGCTTTTTTTTTTTTTTTCTTTCTTTTTTCCTTTTGCTCAAGAGCAAGCCCATCCCATCTGTTTCCAAACATCTTGGTAGTTAGTGAATGTGCAGCACTGACGAAGGGGGCCGTTATTCTGTTTCCTTATAGGTGTCTTTTTTTTTTTTTAAGATTTTATCTCTTTCTGAACATCTAAAGCACTTTCTGCTGAAGCTCTCTGAAGAGAACTACCTCAAGTTTGCATTTGGTTTTTATTTTTTTTTAAGATGATGTGTTGCATACAGAAATACCACAAATGGGTTGTGTGTCAGAAGTGGGCACCTGAGGAAGCTGGCTTGTAAAGACAACACCCAGAGCGCACCCTGAGGGGACAAACACAGAGACGCATCTTATTGCCTTGGTCAGGCAGAGGCGACTGAGGCCTGCTGCCCCCCCAAGCAGGAGGGAGGACCTGAAGCTGTGGGCCCAAGCTGGCCCCTCCGCCCCCCACCTCACACCCTCACCTTCACCCGCAGCATCTCCTCGGGGATGTTCACCATGGCGTGGGTGAGCCAGCTCTCCAGGCTCTTGGCAAAGTTCCGGATCGCTTGGGTCAAGGCACCTGGGGGCGGTAGGAGGGCTGGTGGGGACTCGGGGGGAGGTGGGGCACAGGGAGCCGGGGCAGGGCGGGGGCGGAGGCGGGCACTCACTGGGGATGGGCCGCAGCACGTCAGGGATGAGGATCTCCACCAGGCCCTGGTACAGCACGTTGTCACAGTGCTTGGTCCACTGCAGCACAGGCTCGAACTTGGAGAGGAGCACCAGGCTGGCCTTGGGCAGCCGCTTCTCAGCCTCATCATGCCTGTGGGCACCCACCCGGCCCGGGGTGTTATGAGGCTGTTCCACAGTCCTGCACCCAGGGTCAGAAGAGCACAGCACCCTCACCCCACCCTGGGCTCAGGCAGGTACCCTCTGCCTCCTGGAGACCCCCAGGGTCAGGCTGATACAGGCCTCACTGCCCCAGCGTCAGAGACGGATCTCAACATCCTGCACGTGGGGACCCAGGCACCTAGCCACTGCAGGGAGGGAATGGCTCGGTGGGGCCCGCCATCCCACACACGGAGCATCAGATTGGTACCAAGGCACACTCTGGAGGCAGGCTCAGAAGGCCACAGGGGCCCCACAAACTGTGGAGGTCAGAGAGGAACCCCAGCTCCTGCATGGTCTAGCCACCCCAGCCTTGAAGGCAGACTCGCAAGGTGCCCAACTTCCTCCCTTCCTCCCCCTGGGGCACTCACACAGCCAGCGGCGGCGCCTCGCTGGGCTGGCTCAGGTTGTACCTCCAGAAGGTTTTCCAGAGCGTTTCCACCAGTGTGAACTGCAGGTTCACCATGACATCGACGATGGCCTGTTGGGGAGGCCAGATGCTCGAGGGGGCCGGGCGGCAGCATGGTGCACCCTCACCCCTGCCACTGCCCAGGTGCCCTACCTCACAGTGTTCCCGGTATAGGACCTGGAAGGCCTTGATGTCCCCAGGTCCGATGCCCTCGGGCAGCACTTTGCCCTGGAGATCAAGCTCTGAGAAGTCAGGGAGGCTTCTCGAGGCATCTGGGGGGCAGAGGAGACACCGTGAGCCCCTTCCAGCCTCATCCTGGGATCCTGTTAAGTTGGCACCACTTGGCTACCAAGCTCCCCCATGACCAGTTTGGGGTGATGAGGTTCAAGGAAGGCAACTGAACCATCTGCTGGCTCTCTGGGGGCTGCACAGCCTGCCCTGGGGCCCGCCCCAGAGTGCGGGGAGCCCTCACCCAGAAATTGCTGGTACTGCTGGACCTGGGCGCTGATGTCCGAGAGTCCAGTGGCCTGCTGTGGCCCCACGGCCACACCGTTGGTCATGCCCTCCATCTTCTGGATGGGTTTCAGCCTGGAGAAAGGATGGGTAGGCAATGGGATGGGGAGTTAGGCCGCAGTGTCCGTCCCTGCCTGCCAGCACCCAGGCAGCCCCGCCCTCCTACCTCTGTTTTTGGGAGAAGGGTTGGCCCCGCATGGCCATGTGCTGCTGGTCCTCCATCAGCCGCAGCAGGGGCGAGCTGGCCTTGATGCGCAGGCCATAGTAGTGGTACTTGGAGTTGCCCCTGGGAGGGAGGCAGAGGGTGAGGGCTGGGCTGGGGGTGGCCCCCGATCATCCACTGGGAACTTTACATCGCACCCACCTCCTCTCTGCTAGGGAGCAAACAGAGCCCGGGGGTGTGACCCATGTTCCACAGAGCTCGGGGTGCTGGGCTGGGGAAGCCATGGGGGCTATGCAGACTGAGCTCTGTGAAGACAGGACCAAGTCTGGGGCAGGCACTTAGCAGGTCTTTGCTGACAGCTAGTCTCACAATTTGCCAGGCACTGTTTTGAGCACTGAGCACATGTGAATGCACGTGTTCCTCATCTCTACCCCATGAAGGGTACTCCTAGCATCCTAGATTGATAGCTGAGGAAACGGAGGCACAGAGAGACGAGGTACTCTGCCCAAGGTTCTACATGTATGCCTGCATGAATGAGGTCACACTGAGGCCTGAACTGGGAGCTGGAACCAAGAGAAGAGCAGGGCTTAGCCCAGAAAGGTGTGGGGGGATCGCAAAGGAGAGGCAGAGAAGGGTGGGTTCACGGGAGGGCTCCTTGCTCCTTCCTCTGTGAATTCACTGACTCACAGGCCATGATTAAGCAACAACTGTGTGCAGCCCCCACACTCTCAAGGGGTGTGCATTTCAGCATCGGAAGACAGATCAGAAATGAGAAGTAACATGAAAGGCATGCTGGATGGGTGCTCAGGAGAAAAACTAAGTGGGGTGGATGCCAGGGAGGTAGGGAAAAGCTGAAGTTTTAGTTAGGAGGGCGAGGGGATATTTGAGTCAGGAGATGGGGAAAGGCACAGACAGTGCAAAGGCCCTGGGGCAGAAGCATGTGAGTGTCAGGAACTGTGACAAAGGCCAGTGGGGCTGGGGAGCAGTGAAGGGACGAGGGGAGCGGAGGACCTCGGAAACAGGGTGAGGGCGAGCCTTGCGGCCACTGGGGGCTGTCAGGGGCAGGTGGCCCCACCTGGTGCCTAGGCGACGGGTGCGCAGGCCCATGAAGACGGAGCGGATGAGCTTGCCGAAGGAGGCGGCGTTGACGGGCTCCAGCTTCTGCTCCTGGCAGTGCAGCAGGTAGTGGCAGTACAGGGTGCTCCGCGGCAGGCTCACGCCCTCGGCCGTCTCGTAGTTGTCCAGGAGCCACTGCACCTGGGGCCCGAGGGGGACGGAAGAATCGGAAGAATGCTAAGAATGGCTTCCATTTCTCAAGTGCTCGTCTCTAAGTGCTCTATTTATTTCCAATTGTGATCCTGACAACCATGCTGGGGAGGGTGTCATGTCACCCTTGTCCATGGGAACTAAATCCAGTGGAACTCTCTAGAACTGTGCTGTCCCAGGCCGTCACCACTAGCTGTGGAGAGCTGTTAAATGAATGTAGGCGGAATGGAAAAAGCCAGTGTCAAAAGGTCACATTAAGTATGAGTCCATTCACAGAACATTCTCGAAATGACAGTGTTAGAGAAACGGCGAACAGATTCGTGATGGCCGGGGGTCAGGAATGCTGGAAGGGAGGAGGGTAAAGGAGACCATAAAGGGTTAGCACCAGGGAGATCTTTGTGGGGACAGGACAGTTCTGCATTGAGTTTGATGGTGGTTTCCCAAATCTACCCATGTGATAAAGACACAGAAGTAGATACCCCCATATAACACCAACTGTCAGTTTCCAAGTTAGATACTGTACTACAGTTACGTAAATTGTAATTAGTGGGGTAACTTAGGTGAGGGGTCCACGGGGATCTCTGCAGCTTCTGTGACCATAATTCTTTCAAGATCGTTTTTTTTTAAACAAACAACTCGGCGACTTCCCTGGTGGTCCAGTGGTTAAGGATCCTGCCAATGCAGGGGACACAGGTTCGATTCCTGTTCTGGGAAGATCCCACGTGCCATGAGGCAACTAAGCCTGTGCCCCACACTACTGAAGCCCGCACGCTCCAGAGTTCGTGCTCCGCAATGAGAGAAGCCACCAGGGTCGGAAGTCTGTGCCCAGCAATGAGGATAGCCCCTGCTCACCACAACTAGGCAAAGTCCAGGCACAGTAATGAAGACCCAGTACAGCCAAAAATAAGTAATTAAAAAAAATTCTAAAATAAAAAAACAACAACTCTGTCTCTGGGACTGTGAAACTCACATGTCAAGCACTCAATAGCCTCATGTGTCCCGAGGCCTGCACAGGAGGCAGCAAGCAAAGAACACACCACTGGAGGATGTTCTATCAGACAGCACGGATCTAGGGGAGCACATTTTCAGAACCCGCTTGGGGCTCATGAAGTCAGTTATGGGGGTCATGACCAGCATCAAAAAAAATCAGACTAGAAGCCAGGCTGCCCAGGTGCCCGAGAGAGGTCCTGTCTTCTGGGAAAGTTTCGGTCTTGGTAATGATGACCACAATGGGTGGCTGTGGCAGAGGGCGGGAGCTACACGTGAGGGGCAGCCATTGCTCAGACCTCAAGCTCCTGGAGGACAAGGCCCATGCAGGGACACCCCCCCCACAGTCACAGAGCTGATGACAAGCCCCATCAGGATTAGACCCTAGGGCTGTTCCACAGAGCCGCTCTGGGCACAGGAAGTTTATCTCACTGCCTTTTGGACAGGCACAGATCCTTGCTCCGGGTAGCTCCTGGCATGGTGGTGCCTGCATCTCCCGCCCCATTCTATCTATCCGCCATCACCAGTTAGTATCAGACTCGATGACACTTCCTTGGGTAATAGCTCCAAGAGCTTCGGGCATATTAGCTGAGGCCCAGAAAGGTTGAGGAACTTGCCTGAGGCCACACAGTGAGGAGTCAACCCCAGGACCTCTTCACCTGAGCACCCTGGCACCAGGCGACCCAGACTCCTGGGGACAGTGGCCCCGCACCCATCACCTGCCGCCCCTGCCCAGGGCCCCCCTCCCACCCCTGCCTCCTCTGGGGCCTGGGTCGGCACTTACGGTGGCTGGTGAGGCACGGGTGGTGTGGGAGTAGGACTGGCTGGCACCGCCCAGCATGTAGCCGCCTTGGATCACGTAGGTGCCTGCGCCGCTGCTGCCGCCGCCGCCGCTGCTGCCACCCCCGCCCCCACCACCCCCGCCGCTGCCGCCGCTGCCACTGCCACTGCCGCCGCTGCTGGCTGCACTCCCACTGCTGGTGGAGCTGGCGACAACCTGGCTGCCAGACACGTACATGGGCACAGAGCCGCTGCTGGCCACCGCCTGGGAAGTGGCAGGGGTGCTGACCTGGGCAGCCGTGCCCGCGGCCTCATAGTAGCTGGTGCTTGCCGTCTGCGGGTACAGTGGCGTCTCCGGGTAGGAGTAGGTGCTGGAGCGGCTACGAAAGAGGTAGAGGGCGGGAGACAGGGGATAAGAGCTGGGTGGCCCAGGGGCATAATGAGAGGGGCCCTGCAGTGGGGGTGGGGGGAGGCGGGGCAGGGCAGCAACAGCCCCATGCACTGTACATCCCCCCAAGTGCCTGATGGGCAATTCTTCACTGAATCCTCAAAGCAGTCCCGTGACTTGGGAGTCCCCGCTTCAGTCGTGAGGAACTGGGACTGGAAGAGCTGAGTGACTTGCAACGGCCTAAACACTTCAGTCACTCAGAAAACAAACTACTGAAGAGAATTCCCTGGAAGTCCAGGGGTTAGAACTCCTCGATCCCACTGTTGGGAGGGCCCTGGTCGGGGAACTAAAATTGCTCAAGCCTGGAAGTGCAGCCAAAAAAAAAAAAAGACCAACAACTGTCTTGGGCACTGTTCTAAGTACGCTGGACCCAATGGTGGACACGAGAGAAAAGGCCCCACCCTGGGGTCTGGGGGAGGTTAATGTCCTAGCAAGGAGCCAGAGGAGAAGCCAAGTGCAAAATTGAGGGCACTCTGGAAGGTGGCAGGTACCAAGGCACACGAGGCAGGAAGTGGGTGGGGAAGAGAGCACGCTCTGCTTCTAAATCCACTGGCTGCCACCATGGGGGGCGGGTCAGCGGCAACTATTACGGTGCACACGTGTTTCGCTTTGACCCAGCAACCCATCCTGCCCTGGAGAGGTCGCCAACTATTCGGTCACATGAACTCAAGACTGCAAATCATAGCAAGAGTGACATGGGGTGGGGGGGGTCTATCTTTACTGGGATGTCAAGTTAAAAGCTGATGAAATCCTATGTGGGGGTGAGATAGGAGGAAGGTTTTGAGGTCCCACCAAAGAACAAGGTCCAGAATGTTCTATTAGGTGAACAAGAGAGGCAGGGAGGGGTGTGGATGACACTTTGGGAAGAAGGGAGAGATCGCACAGCATTTCATTATCTGTACCTGTCATTCATCGGGGTGGAGGGTGTGTGGACAGGGGGCAGCCACCTCACTAAACGTGGTTGGACACAGGTTTGATTTTTGAGCCCTCTCAATCCCCTGGAGAAGGAAATGGCAACCCACTCCAGTATTCTTGCCTGGAGAATCCCACAGACAGAGGAGCCTGGTGGGCTACAGTCGCAAAGAGACAGATACAACTGAAGCAACTTGGCTGGCACACACAATGTGTTAGTCACTTGAAAACATAAGCTGGGCTTCCCTGGTGGCTCAGTATGTAAAGAATCTGCCTGCCAATGCAGGAGACATGGGTCTGAGCCCTGGTCTGGGAAGATCCCACATGCTGTGCGGCAACTAAGCCCATGTACCACAACTATCGAGCCTGTGCTCTGGGGCTCAGGAGCTGCAACTACTGAAGGCTAGGAGCTCCAGAGCCCGTGTTCCACAACGAGAGAAGCCACTGCAGTGAGAAGCCTGTGCATCGCAACTAGAGTAGCCCCCACTTGCCACAACTAGAGTAAGCCCGCGCAGCAATGAAGACCCAGTGCAGCCAAAACTAAATAAATAAAATAAAAGTAATTATAAAAAACGTAAGCTAAAATGTTAAAACCCAGAAAGGGAGGGAGGCCTGTCAGGAGTGTTCGTGGCCCAGGAGGTGCTGAAGGATGCTGTGGAGAGAAGTCCTATGGGCCTCCCAGGGCAGCAAGGAGAGCGACTGGGGTGGGGGGGATGTGGTCACTCCTGGTGTATAGCGTCACCCAGCAAACCCCAGGACGAAGCTCTTGTTCACTGTGCCCTGGTTCACACATCTACATCGTCCACATCCATGGCACGAGTGACTCCACAAGTGTGAGACCTGAGCCAGTACTGCTAAGTGCCCCTGCCACCCCCTCTTTGGCAGGAACCGAAACCAGCCCAGCACCCTACCTGCAACACGTGCTCTCAGAAAATGCTGCTATGGCAACTGTTTGCCAAATGACTACATGAATGAGTGTGTGTATCTACCTCAACCACCTGATACGAAGAGCCAACTCACTGAAAAAAACCCTGATGCTGGGAAAGATGGAGGACAGGAGGATAAGGGGATAACAGAGATTAAGATGGTTAGATAGCATCACTGACTCAGTGGACATGAACTTGAGCAAACTCCAGAAGACAGTGAAGGACAGGGAAGCCTGATGTGCTGCAGTTCATGGATTTGCAAAGAGTCAGACACGACTTAGAGACTGTACGACACCTGGATACAAGCTAAACAGGGCCATGGACAGAAGCCCAGGGGGTGTGGCTTCAGTCAGAGCAGGAATCCAGACCAGCAAAGGACTGGAAATGTGGAAATGACCCCCCCGTGAGGGAGAGACAGAAGATACGGTGCCCTCAGGAAAGTCATACAGCAGAAGAATCTGATGGTAACAGTGGACTCTCTGTGATCACTCACACACTACAGTCACAGAGGGAAGAATTGAATCAGAAGCCAAAGACAGACCAGGGAGAGGCAGAAGAGCCCCTGGGGGCCCTCGGGAGCTAGGCTCCTCTCTGGAATGTCCTCTGTGGTCCCGCCAGCACTGGTCCCCTGCACAGATGAGAGCCAGGCACCGCGGGAAATACAGCAACAGAACCATAAGGTCGCTGGATGCTGCAGACCACGACTCAGGGGCCGGGGCCCCACACCCACAGCATCAGGACCCAGCGATCAAGTCATTCCATGAGCTGATCCACCCCCAGTGTCATGCCCACAGGGACAGGTGGCTGGGACATGAGAAAGACATCAGGCAAATGCAAAGAAAGTCAATGAAACTTTCCCAAACTCAAACAACTCGTGTGTCCATAGGATTCTCCAGGCAAAAATACTGGAGTGGGTTGCCATGCCCTTCTCCAGCGGGTCTTCCCAACCTGGGGATCAAACCCGTGTCTCCTGCGTCTCCTGCCTTGGCAGGCAGGTTCTTTAGCACTAGCGCCCCCTGGGAAGCTGAACCGACAACTAGAATAACTCCTGGAATTATTACTGTGTAGAAGGGGAGACAGAAGGTGGTGGTGTATGGAGGACCCCAGCAAGGACTGGCCATATGACATTCATGCTGCGATTAAGCAGTGGAGTCACACATGGTGATTAAAGAGGGTAACCGGGACCCACATGAAAAACTTTGAAATATGTGGCAGGGGAAGAAACAGGGGACAGAACATGCTGCCTGTTTCTCAACACACAAAGCCGGTAATATCTATTCTCAGAGTATCTCAGGGAGGAACCAAAGAAATGGGGCACAACATCTCCTCTGGGCAGGGTTGGGGCTCAGGAGTAAAGGAGATTTCTTTTTCACTGTTTAACATTCCCTACTCATTAAAAATTTTATCTGGTAAAAGTAAACTTCTTTTCCTTTTTTGCAGTTTCTTTTCAGGCCATGTCTTGGGACATGTCAGATCTTAGTTCCCTGATCAGGATTGAACCTGTGCCCCTGGCATTAGGAGCGCAGTCTCAACCACTGGACTGTCAGGGAAGTCTTATTTTTTTTGTTTTTTTGCAAAGAACCAGACCCACCTGACTCCAAAGCCCGACACTATGCTGGAATGCCCTTCCCAACATGCCAGGGCCCCCTCTGCTTCACTGCTTTCTCCCCTTGGTGAGCACCCACTGTCTGTTTTCACCTTGAAGGCTAGCTGGTCTGCTGGAGACTGGGGCTTCAGTCTCAGAGACTGGGGCTTCAGTCTCGGGGAGGGGTCCTGAGCAGACCCACGCTCCTCCTCCTGTCCCTTCCCCCACCCCGGCCCACTCACATGGCACTCGCCGTGTAGCTGGCATCACCGCCCTCCACGTACTGCACTTGGCTGGGATACACGTGTGAGACTGGCACCTGCTGGAGTTGCTGCACCTGGCATGGGAGGAAGGGCACACGGGGGGTCAGGGGCGGGCTGGTGCCCCGCCTCCTGCTTCTCACAGTCGTCAGCTGGCCAAGCTCGCAGGGACTCCCCGGTCCCCGGCTGGGAGGCTGCACTTCGGGGCTCTCTGAACACCCTGGACAGGGACAGGGACAGGGCTGGGAAGGAGGCACAGCGGTGTCAGGAAATGCCAGGCCTCTCTTCTTGGACTGCGGACAGCAAACGTAGGGTTGAGGTGAGGTGGGAGGAGGGGACCCCAGTCGGGGTCCTACTGCGGGAATGAAAGCTGAACTTGGCAGAGCCAAGTTCTGGTACAAGCCTGACGTGTAAACCGGAGCCCGGAACTAGCCAGAGCTGCAGGGTAGGCGCCTGCATCAGGGAGGGACCCCTGCCTATGGGGGCGGGGCCTAGGTCCAGTGCACAGGATGCGATGGGCGGAGCCGGGGCCAGGGGTGGGGCCCCATTGGTGGGCCAGAGTCTGGAACCACTCACAAAGCGGGCGGGGGCGGGGCCTGAGTCCCCCACCCATCCCCCATCCCAGTCTGTAGGGGCAGAGTCTGGGACCTGGAACCCTCTTTGGTGGGTGAAGGGGGTAGTCAGAGGTGGGTCCCCAGGCTGTCTGGGTGAAGGTGGGGTCTACAGGGCCTGCGGGGCCGGGCGCGGGCCGGGGCCGGCGGATCCCGCCCCCGCCCGCCCCTCGTACCCCCGCCGTGCGTCCGCCACCTACTTTGAGGGCCGTGGCGGCCGTGCCGAACACTAGCACCTGGGGGACTCTCTGGATCCTGACCCTCTGGTCGGGGCTGGCTCGGGCCGGCAGCCCGGGCAGTGGCTCGAGGACCACTTTCTGCTGCGGCAGGAGCAGGTGCGGGGGCAGGAAGCCCACCAGCTCCACCCACTGCTCGGCGCCCGGCTCGTAATGGGGCGGCAGCGGCTCGGGGCTGCCTAGCTGCGGGGCCTCCCCGCGGCAAGCTGGCGGTTCCGGGGCCAGCGCACGCGGCCCGGGCCCAGGCGTGGGCGGCCGGGGCGGCGGCGGCTCCGGTGGCGGCGTGGGCCAGGGCTCTTGCTGCTCTGCCTTCCTAGCGGGAAACTGACTGCCTGAGCTCTGGAGGACAAACAGAGACACTGAGGGGTCACCGGGGCCGGCAGCGGGCGGGTCTCCAGGCCTCCACCGCCCACCGGGCTGCTGACACTAGGCAGCAACCCGACCAGAAGACCCCCACCCGGTGTCAGGGAAGGGACAATCCAGAGCTCTCTCTTAGCAAAGCCTGGGCCCTGAACTGCCCGGTGCTGGCAAAGAGGAAGGCTTGAGGCCCATGGTTGGAATTGGAGTCCAGGGTGGGGGTGGGTTTCTCAAGTTTCCAGCTGCTTCCCCCCACCCAGACCCCCTCCCAGGGGGGCTCCATTCCCTCCCTGCGGCCTGAGGGGCCTGCACCTTACCCTCCCCCACCCCCGCCACCCCACGTGACTGAGCCCCAGTTTGCCCAGAGGCATGTTGGGGAGACACACACCTCTTGAGCCACATGGACAGACTGGAGTCCTTGCACCGTGAGCTGCTGCACGGGGCCAGCTTTGGGCACCTGTGGAGTGGCCTGAACCACTGACCTCTGCAGGGAGCGAAAGGCAAGTCAGACTGTGACAGCCATGGCCAGGATGGCTGCCCACCTGTCCTCAAGCGCCGCCCCCTGTCCCCAGCACTGGCGTCAGCCTTTCTTCAGCTCTTCACTGCTGGCCCCGCACCATGTGGCTTCCAGGTTCCTTACCAGGTTGACTGGGCGCCATGTGGAACCCAGGCTCTACCAGGTGAGGCTGACAGGAAGAAGGACTGGGAGGTGAACTTGGAGCTGACCGAGGGGGGTCCCTGCTCTCCACCCCCACTGCCTACATGGGTCATCCCGCACCCCGGCATCTAGCAGGTCCTCACTTCCATGCTATGGCGGGGACGCTGGCATTACCCTCAGGACAGAAGGAGGGACAGAGGCTGGGAGACAGGGAGCAGCTGAGTGAAGAACCCAGGGCTAGAGTTTCCGAGGGGCTGTGGTGCCTGGCCGGAGAGTGTCTGTTGAGTCCTTCAGGGTGGAGTTTCTGCATTCCTCCAGGGAGAGGATCTATGGCTTTCATCTGGTTTTCTGAGGGGCTGGAAACCACCCCCCTCCCCCCACACTGGTAATGACCAGATGACAGACAACCCTTGCCTTATAACCTGCTCTGGCCATGGTAGCTGGCAGCTCAGAGTGAGGCCTCCTCTGGAAGACTGGGCATGGACTTAACAGGTTGAGGCCTCTCCCTGAGCCCCCTGGGGGTGAGCAAGGACTTGGCCTTGAGGTTGCCTCCAGGCAAATGGGCCTGGAGACGCCAAGGTTGTCTTTCAAAGCTGTTTCCAGTGCCTCTTCAGTCTGAGGTGCTTTCCACTGCAGCCCCAACCACCTAGCTCCCTGGCTCTCAGAGCAGAAGCCAGTATTTAGATGAGAACATAGAGTCTGGAGAGAAGCAGAGCTGCTTGCCGTAGGCCCGGGGGGACAGCTGGGGCTGGACCCCATCGGCTCGTCTCTCATGGGCCTTCCCCACCACCACCCCAGCAAACAGCTGCAGGAGGATGCAGAGGCCGCCGGGCCGGCAGCCCTTGCCCCTGCCACCGCCCGCCTTGGCCTGGCACCTCTTGGGTGACGGGGACACTCTGCTGGACGCCATGGACTTGCAGCTGCTGCGGCACCGTGCCCGTGGGGGCCCCAGCCGTCTTGCTGGAGGAGCTGTTGGCCTGCACTGGTGACCGCTGCAAGGGAAGGAGGCACAGAGAGTGTGTGGGGCAGCCGGGCCCTGACAAAACCCTGTCCCAAGAGCTATTCGGGGAGGACAACAGCCGGGGGGGATGTCTCCCAGCCATCTAAGGTGATAAAAGTCCCGGGCATCCAGACACCTGGTCCCTCCCACAGCCCCAGGGATCCCAGGGCAAGGCTCAGAGATCAGCCCAGAGATGCTGGGGAGGCCTGTCTTCCCCAGCGAGGAGGGTGGGGACTTAGGCCTCCGCTCAGCAGCCCCCAGCTGCCTCCATCATCAGCTGGACATCAGCCCTGAGGTGAGAAAGGCTAGGTCAGGGGGTCCCCACTTTCCAGATGAGTTGTGAATGTGCAGATGGGAAGGGACATGGACAGGGCCACACAGTTGTGCGTGGTGGCAGCAAGTGCTGACCCTGGGTGAGCTGGTTGCAAAGCCCCCATCAGCTCTGTGTCATGGGAAGTAGAAGCGGGGTGGGTATCATTACTTGTTTCATGCCTAGAAAACTCTGGGCTCAGAAGGCTCTGAGGGCCTGCCCAGAGTCCCCCAGGACTGAATGGCTGAGCCTGGGACCTCAAAGTCCGACTGCTGACACCCATCCTCCCAGCCATCCACGGGTCGCCTGCCTCCACACCCACGTGGAAATTAGAGGTCCTTAGTATTCACACTATGGTTGGAAGAGGGCCACTTTTGCTTCCTGGGATGCAGTGCCCAGAGCTGGAACTTTGAGATCCATTCTGGCCCAGGAGAGAAGGTGCCTCCTCCTGGAGCCAAACTCAGCTCAGAGCCAGCAGAGCAGAGAGCCCAGCAGCCGAGCCCCTCTCGCCCAGGCTCATCGGGGACTTCAGAGGAGGGAGTCCTCGCTCCTTTGGGGAGAGGGCGGGGAGGATGGCCGAAGGGGCCACCACCTACCTCGGGGGGTGAGTGCACTTGCTGGGTGCCGTGCACCGTCAGGGAGACCTGGCCACCCTTGGCGCCCGGGGCTGTGCTCTGCACTACCAGACGCTGCGTGGGGAGAGCCTGGAGTGAGAAGGGAGGACCATAGTTCACTGACAATGACCTGTGTGTGTGTGTTGTTGGGGATTTTTGCCCTCCTCGAGGCATGTGGGATCTCAGTTCCGGACCAGGGATCAGTTCCCTGCTTTAGAAGCGCAGTCTGGACCACTGGACCACCAAGGAAATCCCTGGCCTGGGTGTCCTTAATGTGCACCTGTGCTGCACCAGGGGCTTCCCTGGTGGCTCAGTGGTCACAAACCCACCTGCCAATGCAGGAGATGTGGGTTTGTTCACTCCCTGGGTCGGTAAGATCCCCTGGAGAAGGAAATGGTAACTCGCTACACTATTCTTGCCTGGGAAATCCCATGGACAGAGGAGCCTAGTGGGCTACAGTCCACGGGGTCGCAAAAGAGTAAGACACGACTGACTGACTAAACAACAATGTGCTGAACCAGGCGCTATCTTAGCGCTGCGTGCACACTGGCTCCCAGAATCGCCCAGACAGTCCCGATACGAGGTGGCTCCTGCATTTCACAGAGGATGACAGTGAGGCTTAGGACAGCAGAAGCATTTGCCCAAGGTCCTGGAGCCCATACTCAGCAGAGCTGAAGTTCTTTCCCAGGGAGCCTGACTCCATGGGCCTCAACATGTGCTCCCACCCTGGAAACTGGGCAGGACTTTGTCCCCGTCCATGCCGGCCCCAGCGGCCGCCGTGCAGCCTTGCAGCCCCCAGGTCACCATGCACTTGCTCCCGGCGCTGGGCTCCTGGTTCCTAACTGGCTTTGGGCTCTCTGCTCTGCAACATCAGGGTTGGACCCCCCAGCCATGTTCCCCACTGTCAATCCTCAGGTCTCCCTGTTAAGATGACTCCTGCAGCTCCTTACCTGATGGGCCCTGACTGATACAGCCTCACCAGCCACCTCAGGGTAGGCCCCACATCCTGAAGGCTAGTGCAGGCAGATCCGAGCAGGCTACGGGGGTTGGTTCTACACCCTGGGGAGACTCTGAGAGCGGGGGTGGGGCCAGAGGCGGGGCGCTTACCTGCTGGGGCACCGGGATGTTGGTGAGCTGGAGGGGTGACACGTGGCCCGGCTTGGCCTGCACGCTTGTCTGGACCAGTAGCCGCTGTGGGGAAAGGAGGAAGGACCTGAACCGGATTGGTTTCCCCAGGGAGGCCTGGCTGGGGTGAGGGAAGGCGGGGTGGAGGGGTAGTGATTTTTTTTTTTTTAACAGTGAGCATCTTGATAAGAACAGGTGAGCAGATGGTTCCAGCAGCAGGACTGGGAGGGGGGGAAGCAAGGTCGCTACGGCCACAGCCTCTGTCCACCCTGGGGGAGGAGTGCGTCCTACCTGCTGGGTGCCCTGCACCTGCTGAACCACCTGAGTAGGGACTCCGGTCTGGCTAGCTGTGGAGCCCGGGCTGGCCTCCGACACAGTCTCGCTGGCCCGCATGGCACCCTCTGTAGGGAAAGGTCACCAGGTTAGCTCTGCCTGCTGCCTCCACCCCCACCCTGAGCCTGAGGCCGTCGAGATGGATGCTGCTGCCTGAAGCCAGCTCCAGATGGGGCTAGACCTCTCCAGGAATCCTGCCTGGCCCCTGGCCAGCCCCAAGACTGCCCATTGGAGTGGGCTAGGGGCCACAAGGACCTATAATCCTTAACACCCATTAGCAGCCACCCCCCCACCTTCATTGTCCTGAAGTCAGGGTGTCCAGAAGGGGTGACTGACAAGCCAAGATGCAGTGGAGGCTTGGGGAGATGAACTCCTTTGCTCAGCAGGCACGATTGTGGACCATGACCGACCCCATCAACCCCACCTCCCAGGGGTCCCACAGCCCTGGAAAGCATCAGGACCACCTGCCTTGAGGTGACCCCTGGTTTCCCAGGAATGGAAGCTGGTCAGAGGAGTGACCCCAGGTTTCACCGACCTGCTGTCAGACACCCCCTCCTCCCTTGCCACTGTCAGAGCCTCCCTGTCCTCGTTGGGGGTGGGGGGCAGGCGGGTACTCACGCTGACAGGCAGCCGAGAAGAGGCAGTCATAGAACATGGTGCCCCCCTCTCCCGCCCCCTGCCCCTGCCCGTCCGTCCCCAGGAGCCTGCCTGGCACTCCTTGATCCTTGCCTACCTCTCCAGGAACAGCAGGGTGCGCGGGCGGCTTTATACCTGCAACCTTGGGGAGATAATCCCCCTAGCGCTCCTGGCCGTCCTCTTGGGATAAACATACTTCCCTCCCAGCCCGAGTAGGGCCTTTGAGGGGCTGGGGCTACGTTCTGGGGTCGAGAGGGAGGCCGCTACCCAGAGATGCTATCAGGAAGGTGCAGGTCGGGTTTCATGCACCTCTTGCTAAGTGATGAACAGGGGAGCTGAGGGGGAGGGGAAGGGGGCGAGTGTCCCCAGAGGCACTGGTTGGGAGACCCTCATCCCAGCTGGGTCACCAGCCACCCCACCCCCTTTGTCGCCTGGTTACTCCCCGCAGTTTCAGAGGTGGGGTGGGGCTGGGACCGAGTCACAGGTCAGGCCTAGGCCGAGGCCCCAGAGGCAGGGGGATGCAGACCCAGGTATGTGGGTAAGGAGGCATGTGTCTGAGCGGAGGGCCTACGGGGGACACAAAAGGCTCGGAGCGTCCTTTTGGGTCTCAGCCTCTAAAGTGAGGAGCTAGGCCTCAGCTGTTGCAGGGAGACACGGAGAAGGGACTGGCTAGAACAGAAAGGTGACCACATGCAGGTAGAAGCAAAGACCTCAGGGGCCAGGTCTGAAGCAGAGCACATGACTGAGTGTATGCTAGGTCTGGGCCAGATGGGGGGTAGGTCCTGGGACAACTCTGCAGCTCATTCCAGGAGACACTGATTCCTCTGTTTTGCTGGAGTCATCCCCCGCAACCACTTAGGCTTCCCTGTCATCGTCAAAGAGGAGGCCCTCACCGAGCCGGCCCACTGGGAGAAACCCGAGGAAGCACCCAGTCCCACAGGGGCCCTGGCAGCCTGGGTGTCCATGGCCCAGCCCAAGGGACAGTGCCTGACCGAGAAGGCCCATGGCAGGTTCAGCCTGGCTCAGGGTGGGCAGCGAGTGGGGGGCTTCTCCCGTCCCTTCTAACGCCCTGGTACTCTGATGAAAAGGGGAAGGTTGGTCCTTGAGTGGGACCCGGAGCAGCTGGAGGCCTGGGGATTGCTGAGATCCAGCATCACCTTGGACAAGGAAGCTCCGGGAGGCAGTCTTGCCCATCTCCTGCCTCAGGGGTGGCCCTCAAGGCTGGAACCCCCATCCTGGCCAGGCTGCACCACGAGGATGAGGAGGTGAGATTCTAGAGTCTACTCTTTAGACGAGGGGCCTCCTGTGGCCAAGGTGGGACCTCTGCCACAGTGTCTCACCCTGGCTCTGCGTGTGCGCGTGTGCGCATGGGGGACCCTGAGTCTGCCAACATCAGCATCTGTCTGCAAGCTCCACTTCGCACATGCGCACAGGCCAGAGAGGCCCTGCCGCTTCAAATCTCTAGCCAGGAAGCGGCAGCTGATTTCCTGTCCCTCGATCTGATGAGCATCTCTTCCTCCCTGACCCCTGCGCTTACTTCCTCACTGAGACCTACTCTGGCCTCACAGGCCACTCTGAGCTACTGGGGGGAGGACGGAGGGAAGCCTGAGAGGCTGGACTCCAAGACGGGACCCAGGTCACCGTGGACCACAGATGGGGCCATCTGTTCCTCTTCCTCCTGATCCTTCGCTCCCGTCCTGCCAATGATTTTAGTCAAAGGCTCACTGGGAGGGGAGCCTGTGGACTCCTGCTGCCCCCAGGGTCCTGGGTCCCTTGTCTGTCCCGACCTCAGTTTCCCCATCTATGCTTGGGGACACTGATAAACACCTTCCAGGTCCCTCTTCTTGACATAAGTCTTGGACTTCCAGGGGCTCCAAGTGAGACAGAAGCAGCGAAGAGAGGCTGGACATGGTCCCTTCTTCAGTCCAGCCCTACCCCCTTCACCGGCTTGGTCTCATCTTTCTAGGGACGGCTGGCGGGACTCACTAGGTCTTCCTTCCACTTGGGTTTTGGGTGATAGCCTGGTGGCCTCTGAGGACAGGGACTTATATGTAGGGGATTGTTCCTAAGCTGGAAATTTGAGCTTCCTTCCCATCACCTCCACAGTCACCTTAGGGCAGAGCTCGTGAGGCCTGGGCAAGAGGAACTGCTTCTGCAGCGGCGGTGCTCCTGGCTGGCTTCCCGTCTGGGCTCCACGTCTGGCCCCTGGGCCCCTCCCTGCCTCCTGCCTGCAACTCCCCGGGTCCCTGCCCAGCTCACATTGCTTCTGGCTTGGGAGGAGCCCCAGGCACCTTGCCGTAGCCTTTGCTGGTGTTAGTTACACCCCCACCTCCACCCCCAGGACCGGCTCATGTGACCCAGAGGCCACCCTTAGATAAAAGGGACACTAAGGGTTACAAAGGAACCCTCAGGAATCACTGCCAGGGATGGGGGAGGGGTCAACGAAGCCGCAGGAGTCCTCTTAGAACAAATCAAGGAAGCAGTGCCTGGTAACCATTCCAGGGACAGGCCTGCTGCTGGCGGAACCAGGAGCAGAAGGGACAGGCAGCTCCCCAGGACCTCTGTGAAAGACAGTGAGGCCACTGCCTGACCAAAGAAGGGAGGCTGAGATTCACACCCACAAGCGGTTACGTCAGCACCGCAAGCCATGCACACTGGTGCCCCACAGCACGAGGGGGGCTAGGAGAGGGGGCAACGAAGGCTGTGACCAGTGGGCACCAGGGCCTCCCTGAGGGCGGAGGAGGAGGGTGCTGGGAGGAGCTGGAGAAGACAAGGGGAGAGAGGAGACGGGCTGGGACTTGGGGGATGCTGGGGTCTGCAGTCGTGCGTCCATTCCAGACCCTTGTTCTGAGGACCCCAGACATGGCAAGCAGCAAAAGCCAGCACTCAGGAGGCCCAGGGCCAATAAGATGCCGTGGAGGCTATGAAAAGTCCTCCAGCAGCAATGGGCAAGCCCTCCTGCTGCTCGTGGCTGCCCAGAGGCTGATGGGATGGGAGCACTGAGCTGGGTCAGGTCAGCATTCATGAGGGATGAGCCACCAGAGGGTCTGGGATGGGAGAGCTCCAGGCAGAGGGCAACGCAAGTGCCAAGGCCCAGAGATGAATTGAGCCTGGAAGGTTTGCGGAGCCACAGGAAGGCCAGTGGGGCTGACGCAGGAATGTGGGGGGCAGGGGGGAGGTTGATCCCAGGTGGGCCTGGGTGGCCAGCAGGCCTGGAAGGCCCAAGTCAGGAGGTTGGACATTTGTCAGCAGCGGCGTGGGAGTGTGGAGCTGGTCCCTATCACAGGGATCCAGGTCTCTGAGGGCCAAGAAAGGCCAGGCCAGACTTTCTCAGAGAGTACCCCCAGGGCCACCTGCTTTGGAATAATCCGGGGTGAGCTGGGACATGATGGAATTGAATCAACAGTTATCAAGAGGCTCCCTCTGGTTCTGCTGGGGAGGGCTGTGAAGGGTCTGAACAGAGGCTGGGCCAGGGTAGGGGCCAGGGAGGTGGGAGAGGTGGTGGGTTCTGGTTGGATTTAGGACGTGGAGCCAAGAGATCTTGCTTACTCAAGGTAAGACAGGGGACGTCCCTGGTGGTCCAGTGGTTAAGACTCTGCACTCCCACTGCAGGGGTGGCATGGTTTTGATCCCTGGTTGGGGAACTAGGATCCTGTATGCCACACCACGCAGTCAGGAAAAAAAAAGTATGGGTAAGACAGGAGTCAGGCTGACCCAGGCCTGGGCTGGGGGGATAGAGGGGGTGATGTTTACTAGGACAAGGAAGTCTAAAGGAGACCAGATTTGAAGAAGGAACGAAATTCCAGACTGCCATCGGGCCATGCTGGTTTGAGAGGGTCTTGTGGAACCGCGTGGATGGGTCACAGGTGGCGAGGACTCAGGGCCAAGTCCCTGGGTGCTGACCTCAATGTGGGCATTGTTGTACAGAGGTGGCATCAGAGGCTGAGGGACGGGACAAGGCCCTGGAGCAGAGAGGAGGCCTCAGCTGAAGAGGTCGTGGTGCACAAGGTCAGGGAGATGAGGAGGAAGGAGCAAGGGGAAACCGAAATGGGGACGCAGGGAGGTGGGCAGAGACCAGAGCAGGACCGCATCTCTGGGGGGGCGGGGGAGGGGGGAGAAACTGTCACGTGCTGCCCAGAGGCCAAGGAAGAGGAGAAGAGAGGGTGACCAGAGGAGCGACAGATGGGGGCCATGGGTGGTCCTGCCTGGGATTCTGGGGTTGAGGAGATAGAGCTCCAAGTGAAAGGGCTGAGACCAAGGAAGGGAGGACGAACCTGTTGAGGAATTCTGACTTAAAGAGAGGGCTTCCCAGGTGGCTCAGTGTTAAAGAATCCGCCTGCCAATGCAGGAGATGCAGAAGACATGAGTTCGATCCCTGGGTTGGGAAGATCTCCTGGAGAAGGAAATGGCAACCCATTTCCACATTCTTCCCTGGAGAATGCCATGGACAGAGGAGCCTGATGGGCTACAGTCCATGGGGTAGCAAAGAGCAGACATGACTTAGTAACTAAACAACTGAAAGGGAAGAGAATGGGACAACAGCAGTAGGGGGTGCAGGGCCTGGGGGCCCTGGTTAAAATGGGAGCTGCTATATTTTTACTAGCAGGTAGAAAAGATCTACCAGAGAGGGACTCAGTAATGAGGCTGGATGGCAGAAGTCCTGGAGCAGGCAGCCTAGAACTGCCATGGGGCCACTTCACCCTTCCAGCAGCAGGAAAGCAGAGCTGGTGGGTGCAGATGGACCCTGGGCGCTGGCAGGTTGGGTGGGTGGGAGATGGGGGTCCGTCTTGTCACATGACGATGCCTTATCTGCAGTGAGGTCGGGAGCAGAGTGAGGGGTTAAGAACACGGAATGAGAGGGAGGTGATGGAGGTGAGTGGGGAGCCGGGGGCCTGGGTTTTTCAGAGAGTGGGGAGAATGCTGGTGAGGATACCGGGCAGCACTGAGCACCCCCTGGAGATGTCGCCCGGTGACCCTGGCCACATCCTGGGCTTGGCCTCGCTCTGCACTCAGCTTACTCTCACATGCCAGCCCTCCTCCACACCAGTCTATGTGGCAGAGTCACTGTCCCAAGCCCCTGCATGCCCCCCGCCCTCCCTGGAACACGGACACTGCTGGGAGCCTCCAGGACACTGCCGGGGCCCAGCTGCTTCCATCATGGTCCCACGGGGCCATGTCAGTTGCCACCAATTTTGACTTTCATTGTCCTTGGATCAAGTTAATTGACCCGCACCTTCCACAGCCTCCCAGGATGCCCTTAGGATCTCCACCACTTCCTTTTCCACTGTGGAAAGACCAGGGCCAGCCTCCCCTCTACACAGGGAACATCAGAAACCACCCAGTCCAGTCCTGAGCGCCACCTGGTTTTTTTTGGCCGCATCATGCAGCACGTGGGATGTTAGGATCTTAGTTCCTCAACTAAGGATGGAAGCTGTGCTCCCTGTAGTAGAAGCGCAGAGTCCTAACCACTGGACCGCTAGGGAAGTTCGTCTGAGCTGCACCTTCTCCCTCAGGGGAGTGACCACCTGTCCTGACTCTCTGCTTCCACTTCCCTCTGCTCAGCCCGTCCCCATTCTAGAGGAAGTGGGCATGAGGAAGATGCTCTGAGGCAGGAACCATGGCCCAAGCTTCCCGGTCACTTGCTCCACAGCCTCGGGGGGCAGCTGCAGTGACAAACAGGATCCCCTGGCCACATCACGTACTCACGAACTCACCCAGCCAGGAGCCCTGCTTGGCCCAAGTCTTGTCAAAAACGAAACAGAGGGGCAGGGAAGCAACCCCTCCAGACCTCCCAGTGGACCTCCCTGAAATGCAGCTGGGAGCACCTCACAGGCAGCCCCTGCGCTCAAAACTGTTACTCTTTATTTTTAAAAATTTTGGCTGTGTTGGGTCTTGGTTGTAGCGCGCAGGCTCCAGAGCGCTCAGGCTTAGCTGCCCTGCCATCTGTGGGATCTTAGTTCCCCGACCAGGGCTTGAACCTGGATCCCCTGTGTTGGGAGGTGGATTCTTAACCACTGGACCACCAGGGAAGTCACTCAAAGTTGTTACGGTCCCTTTACGCATGACGGCTGAATGTTCCCCCTCCAGTTCCGGCAGGCGTTTGCAAACTAACTCCACTGTCCAAGCCTTTCATCGAGTGACATCTTACTTGAGGACAGAGACAGAACCCAGCTCAAAGAGCTGTCCTGGTGGGGAGGATCTGGGGGGGCACAGAGTCCTCCCTGCTTGGTCTGACTACTTCTTCCCCAGAAAGTGAAAAAGTGAAAGTGTTAGTCGTTCAGTCATGTCTGACTCTTTTTCGACCCCATGAACTGTAGCCCACCAGGCTCCTCTTCCATGGGGTTCTCCAGGCAAGAATACTGGAGTGGGTTGCCATGCCTTCCTCCAGATCTTCCGACCCAGGGATCAAATCCGGGTCTCCCACACTGCAGGAAGATCCTTTACTGTCTTGAGCCACCAGGGAAGCCTTCCCCAGAGACGTCCCGCAAATCCCACCCGTGAAGCTGAGACAGTTAAAAAGCTGCCCTCTGGGTGACCGGCACAATAAGTGATGACGGGAGGGCTCCGGGATGCCCCACATCCAGAAGGCTAGGCTCCCCCAAACTTCTGCGGGAGTTGTTAACACGGTGCCCTGGCTCCAAGCACGCGTCCACTTACCGGAGACGGTGACCACGATGTACTGCTGGGACGCCGGGGACGGGGTGGGTGCGCCGGCCGGCTGCGAGGGCGTGGGGGCAGCCGGGAGCTCTGTCACATACGGCTTCTGGCTGCCCGGTGGCTGCGCCTGGGGCTGCGGATTCTGCAGCTCGGTGACATACTGGGGCTGGGGGGTGGCGGCGGTGGCGGGGGGCTGGGGGGGCTGGGGTGCCGCGGAGGGCGGCGGTGGCGGCTGGGCTTGTGGCGGAGCCTGTGGTGGCTGGGATGGTTGCGGGGCCGCCTGTAACTCAGTAACGTACGCCTGTGTTGCCATGCCAACAGTGGGGAAAATGATAATAAATAAGGCTTTTTTTTTGCTTGCTTGGGAAGAAGGAGGGAGGGGGGAGAGAGAAGAGGAGGGAGAAAAAGAAGGAAAAACAAGAATTAATCTACAGGCAGAGGAAACCAGGGACAGCTCCTGGCTCCCCAGAGACACGTTTGGGTTCATCAGCAACTTAATTACATCCCGAGGCTGGTGGCAAGATCTAACCAACCCGCTGCTGCACGGCAACTGAGGATGGACCAGGGCTGGTCTGCACCTCTTCCACTCACTCCGACCCAGGATTCCTGCCTTCTTCCTTTTCATGCTCCGGTGCCTGGGGGACCCCTGGGCTGGGAGACCTCCAACTTTTGCCCAGAAACAAATAATACAGTCCTCCTGAGGGTGCCTGCAGGCACTGTCCTGTGTACTTTCTTTACAATTAATTTTAATTTTTTGGCCATGCTGGATGACATGTGGGATCTTAGTTCCCCGACCAGGGATCAAACCGCTACTTCCAGGCAGTGGAAGCACACAGTCTAGTCCCTACATTACTTAATTTAAAACTCTGCAACAGTCGCATCCACGCTTGAGTTGCTTCTGCCAGAAGAGGAGCTGAGACTTAGAGAGGTTAAGGAGCTTGCCCTAGGCCACACATCAGGGAAGAGGTGGAACTGAGTCTGAACCCAGGGCACTCTGATTACTGGACTAGTGGGCTAACAGCTGGAAAGGAAGGTCAGGGGGAAAGCTGTCTCCCAGCCAGCCTGTTCCAGTCCCCTCCTTGCCTGCCATCTGGGCTTGGATTCTTGGCTGAGTGTCATTCCCCGAGGCAGGGGGGCGGGGGCGCGGGTGGAGAGCGAAATGCCAGACACGGGGAAGGTGTTTTGAGTCCAAAAAGCCCCCTGAGCTGCTTGCGGCCATAGAAACAAGGGCATTTGTAGGTGGCCAGATACGAGCTCCTCCCTGAACAGTGGCCTTCTAGGCCCTGGGGCGACTGGGCTGGGAGCAGGCCCCGGCCACAGAGCAGGCCTGGGAGGCCCCGCTGACTTCAGAACGGGGCCCACCTGACCACGCAGCGGCAGCTTTTCTGGCTGCTAAACGTCTGCAGTGCCTCTCAGGAGCTGGGTGTGAGGCAAGTACTGTGGGTGAGGCAAATGGGTCTGGCTAAGCCCCGCCCCAGCAGGGAGGAGGCCGACGACGGTTTCCTGGCTCCTTCGCTAAGGAGTGTCTAGGGACAGTGAAACAAATGCAGAGGGTGAAGAGAAGCTCCACCCCTCATAGTTACGTGGTCCCTAGTGACCCTAGACGTATCTCAGTGTGAGAGCTTTGCCTGCGAGGTCGCGGTGACCTGTGGCCTTCAGCAGCATGGCACTGCAGGGCTGAGCCAGAGGCTCTTCTGCATTAATCCTCGAGCACCTGTGTGCCATGGCCAGCCAGCTGCAGGGTGACTAAAAGTGAGATTTTTTTCAAGGGGAAGAGAAAAACAACTGCTACTTGGTGATCAGAACCCCCAGGTAATCACTGTGATCACCTCCTCACAGCAGGCTGGCAAGGGAGGAGCCACCGTGCCCATTTCACAAATGAACAAAACAAGGTTCAGGAGTGGACTGCGCACAGGCCTGCAGCAGCAACCAGTGAAGGAAGGGATTTGAAGCCAGGTCTCTCTGACCCCCAGATATGTGCTGTTAGCCCACAGCCCTACTCAGGGAGCCAGGCCCAGGGTTCACAGTAGATGGCGTCTTCCTGTTTTTCTGATGGAGACACCTAAGGCCCACCCACAGAGGTAATGCCACCTACCCAAGGCCCCAGTTGGAGCAGCAGAACTCAGGGGCGGGGAGCCCACCAGAGCAGCCCAAGGGAGACCACAGGCCAGGCAGCACCGTGGCACCTGTGTTCTTCACACCTCCCTGTACCTCGCTCTCTGGGGATCTGGACTCTGCCCTTGGATGCCAAACCCAAGAAGAATCCAGGTCAGCAGGGGGCAGGACAGGTGAGTCACAAACCCTAGATGGGCCTGTGCTCGACCTGAAGTTGACTGCCTCCCAGCTGTGTGACTTGCGGGGAGGGTGTCCCCTCCCTGGGCCTCCGCTGCCCCATCTGTGCAATGGGAGGGTAGCAGGCCTATGATGCAGGGCTGCTGCAGAGTTCCGTCTGATTGTGCGGGCAATGTTTGGCCAAGCGCCTGGTGCAGCCTGAGCACTTAAGAAATGGCCCTGGTTCCCCTCATTGCCCAGGGCCCTTGAACAAGGCTCTAGGCAAGACTACAAGCCTCCGGGCCCTGCCTCCCTGCTTTGGGCTGCTGAGTACAGAGGAAACAAAGGTTGCTGTCTGCACTCGGCCACCCGAGTGGGTGGGGTGTGCCACCCCTTGCGGGGCTTGGGGTATGCCAGGCTCCGATGGCTGGTGTGAGCAGAGTTGGCAGGGCCCTGAGGCCACCCTCCCTGCCAAGCCTGGTCATTACAGAGAGAGGGATGACAACAGTGGCCGTGTCCCAGGTCTGAGGGAGCGGTTCTGGGCTTGCCCACTGGGCAGGACAGAAAGGTGGCCTGCCAGGGACTCGGGTAGCAGGGAGAACTTGCTCACCTGAAGAGGGAGAGGCTACTGCCTGCCAAGCATACAGGGAAAACATCTTCCACCAGCCCCTGCCCTCCCCAAGCTCTTTCCTGCCAGCATTAGAGGGGCCCACCTCCTCAGACCTCCTCGCACTACTGGGTCCAAACTCTGGCCCAGATCGGATGCTCAAGTCACTGCTGCTGACCAGCACCTGTCTACCAGTATCAGACCCACTTCCACTTGAACCCTGGCCTGTCTCTTAATTCATGAACATGTAACTGACTTTCCTCTGGGCCTCAGTTTCCCCATCTTTCACGTGGGGATGATAACACCTGATTCATAGGGCTGTTGCAAAGATCCAATGTGATCAGCAGAGCAACAAATAAGCACTGAGAAGTGGAAGTTGCTATTATCATTATTCACTCAACAAGCACCCATGGGGTTGGAGGGGAAAGGAGAGAGACGCAATCCTCAAGCTCTTGGAAATAGGCACCAAGCGGAGATTCTGATTCTGGTGCTCGTCAGTCTCACCTGGGGAGTCAGTTAAATGCAGGTTCCTAGGCCCACTGACAGAGTCTGGGATGACCCTGGAGTCTGTTGTTTGAGCTAGTTGCCTGGATAATTCTGGGGCAGGTGTACTGGGGGCACTGAGAAACCCTGGCCTGGACTTTCCCACCCTTACGAGAGTGGCCCCTTGTGGCCCCCTCCCACCACAAAAGGGCTTTAAAAGCTCCGCACTTGCTGGTGCTTTCTCCCCCTCAAGGTGCAAACCCTGCAGGCCTCCTTGTTTCCACTCAAGGACAGCGCAAGATGGCAGTGACACAACTGAGCTCAAAATGGGGAAGGGGAGATGGATAAAACAGCTAAACCACCTTCTCTACTGGAGACCTACTCAGCATTGTCATTGTTAGACTCCAGGAAGAATGATATAGAATGCCAAATTTCCATAATTATTTCACCAGGGAACCTCCCCCCCTTTTTTTTTTTCCAATTGTGGAGGGCTAGGTTAAGCAGAGTTCGGTAGGGTGTTCCCTGGAGAGGAATAAGTCACAAATATCTATACAGGATGAGGTGTGTCCCCCATCTATTTGAGCATGACTCAGCAAATCTGTTTCTTAGCAATGAAACTGCCAAAAAATGCACCAATGGCTGCACCTATCTTCAAAGCCAACACCTATTTTTGGAGAATGTGTGAATCCATTCTTTAGGACAGGGGCCGGCATATTTCTGTCAAGGGCCAGCCAGAAGTCAAGATTTTTTACTCCAAGGACAGACAAGTCTATTCCAGTGACTCAGTTCTGCCACTGGAGTGTGACAGCAGCCATAGACAATATGTAAACAAGCAGGTGTGTGGCTGTGTTCTGATAAAAATTTATTTCTAGACACTGAAATTTGAATCTTACATAATTTTCACATATCACGATATATTATTCATGTCACAGAATATCCTTCTTAAAAATGTAAAAACATTCTCAGATCACAGGCTGTAAAAAACAGGTGAAGGCTTAGCTGTTTTAGAGGCCAGATCTTTAACCAAATGGTTTACATCTTGGACAAGGCCCTCCCAAGGAAATGAAAGAAAACCTCACTTTCCTCACCTGTAGACTGGCTTCAAAAACGAACTTTTGGGGGAATGGAGAAATTAAATATAACAGTGTGTTTCCCTCATCCTCTCTATATCCAGTTGTGTGGGGGTTTTTTTTGGTGGTGGTGGAGGGGGGTGTTTTTATTTGTTTGTTTGCCACACCACATGGCTTGCAGGATCTTAGTTCCCTAGCCAGGGGTTGAACCTGGGTTCCAGCAGTGAAAGCACAGAGTCCTGACCACTAGACTGCCAGGAACTGGCTAGGAATTCCCTAGCCAGTTAATTTTTTTTTTTTTTTAACACTTATTTATTTATTTGGCTGTGCAGGTCTTAGCTGCAGCACACAGGATTGGCAGCATGTGGGATCTAGTTCTCTGACCAGGGATCAAATCTGGGCCCCCTGCATTGTGAACACAGTCTTAGCCACTGCACCAGCAGAGAAGTCCCACCAGTTAGTTTTTAAGACTTATCAATAATTCCTCCAAAACAGTTCCTAAGGCTGGGCTTTGCCCTCCATCTTTATCAATACCATGCTAGTATTGATGGTTACCATCATCTCTTGCTGGACCCACTCATCACTGGCTCCTGGCTTCACTCTTGCCTTTATAAGATTCTTTGAAACACAAACCCTATTTTGTCGCTCCTCTGTTGAAAAGGTTCCAGTGTTTCCCATCACAGAGAATAAACAAAAAAATCGGAGCCCCTCCCATGACCTACAGGGCCTCATGGGATCTGGCCCCTTCCAGGCCCCTTTCTCGCTATGAATGTTCTAGCCACAATCTCTCTCCTTCCCAAATGCTCCAGGCCTCCCCCTGCCTCAGGACTTTTGCCCCAGCTCTTCCATCTACTGGCATGCTCTCCTCACCTCCGCCTGCTA